GTATTATGTATTTTGATTTTGGATATGTTTTAGTTGTCAGATTGTACATAGTGAATGAAAAATATTAGTTGTCAGATTGTACATAGTGAATGAAAATAAGTTACATGCCCAATGTCAAATCAACCAGCTGCCGGAAGTGGAAACAAATTTTCTTTCGAACCACTATCTCCGTACAAAACTCAGATGGGGAAAGGGTAGTTGAATATCATTTCTTGATTTGTTTTTGTTTTTTTTTCATATTAAAAAAAAAGTCCCCATCGTAATTTTATGAAACCTGTAAACAAAAGCCCATATGTAGGTTGCAGATCATGTTGATATCTATAAATAAATTGTCAGTGGTCTCAACATTGCCATCTGTTATTCATCAGTTGTTCAGATTAAGTTTAAACCAATAATGTTGTTGTTGATGTTTGCATACATAGAATAGTGAATAAAAACAAGGTAGAAAAATATTTCCTCTGTCTTCTTCTTTGTCCCCCTTTGTTGTCTGTATATTTTAATGTATACAAATCAATCACAACATAGCTTATTTGATCTTTTGGGAATCTGGAAAAGGGTGTTGTCCCCATGAATGTATTTGGACCTCCCCAGAAGCAGCACATCTGCAGCAATTCTCAATAAAATTTCTCAAATCGTTTGTCCTGATTGTACGAAATGGATATCAGGAGTGATAATGATATTATTCGTATGCACATCACTTCAGAGGCATCATTTGTCCCGGATGTAAGACTGACAAATCCACAAAGCGCGCCCGACCTTCTGATTGGCTCAGGGGCGGTGGGGTAGCCTAGTGGTTAAAGCGTTCACTTGTCACGTCGAAGACCCGGCTTTTGATTGCCCTCATGGGTACAATGTGTGAAGCCCATTCTGGGGTCCCATGCCGTGATATTGCTGGAATATTGCTAAAAGCGGGCGTAAAACTAAACTCACTCACTCACTCACTCTGATTGGCTTAAATTAACGTTTGGGCCAATTTGGATTGACAGACTGATCTATTGTTTGTGACCTATTTGACCCTTTCTGTTCTATCCATAACCCTCAGGCATGACCAGATAAGTGTATACTAAATGTAATCATGGTAATAGTGTGGATGTGGCTCAGTTGGTTAATTGTCAGACTAACAATCTGAATGTTGCGGGTTCGTGTCAAGTAGATTCTCACAAAATTGGTAACTAACCTTTGAGACTCTTGATCTACAGCAGAGACCGTCCTCACGAGAAGTTGTTCTGAATTCTAAATGTGCTCCACATATTCTTCTAAAGAGCCCATTGCTGGTGATTTTTCTGCAAATTTCTAGCAGTTTAAATAACTGCTAGGTTGTGTTTCTTCAACCATTTTTAGACACTCTTTCTCTGGTTCAAACGAATAAATCTGTTCACAAGATTACCGATGAAAAGGTTTCACGTCACAGTAACTTTTGCCTCTGATTATAGTAAAAGTATATTTATTAATATTATGCAGCTTTTTTATTAGGATATTGCTGAAACACTACCAATGTTAATGATATTTTGCAGGCGTGTTCCTTCTAAGGCATCTTAATTTGCTGTCTGTTGTTTGCATTCTGCATCGGCCAACATCCTGGTCCATATTAAGATGATAGCCAACCTCTTAGAGAAAAGCCTGTCCTGCTTTGCAGCTCACATGCAAATTGTTTGATCATTGTATACTTTGTTATGAGCTCTTGTACCCTTTATCATGTTTATGCAAATAATAAAGATTTCTTTGTTATCTGGTAAGTTCAGGCATGGTCATTGATGCAAGAATATCCTTCGTCTGGGGTGTTTTCATGTGTGCAGATGTCTTTTTCCATTACTATGCAAATTTTGCAAGGGTCTGCTGTATAAGTTGTAAAGGGTCTAATTGTTTTTTTCTATATTCTTCATGATTCTGAATTCAAAGGATACTTATTCAGGGTAGGTACCAGCAAAGCACATCTATTATTATGACAGAGATAATACAAAAGTCAAATGCTTTCAAAATGGCATAGAAAACCATCAATTTCAAAATGCCCCTTTATTTCAGTATTATAATAATGTGTGTTTGTTAGATACATTTGAGTACCTGTGCAATATATCTTAGAGGTGCGGTAGGTGCTTTCTAAATCTTGACGATATGAGCCCAAGTATGGTTCTGGGGTTCATACATATTATGGCTGAGATGTTGCTGATGGGATATTGAATTTAAACTCTCTCATTGTAATGTTTCTGATGTTAAGCTACCCAATTCCGATGTCACCAGCTGACCTTTTCCTTTGACATGAAACACTTAATTTGATGGAGAACCAATTTGTGAATTAGGTGTCTGCTAGCTGTTGTTCCAATGTCTGGCTGATAATGTCCAAGTGATAATGGTAATGACCCATTTGACCTTTTGCAGGTGACCTTTCATCATAAATGCCCAATGGTAACCTTGGAGCATCCATCTTTCAATGAATGTAATGGTGAAATACATGCCTAGAAAAGAAAAGTGAGACCACTAACATGATTCCAAATCCACGATCTAGAATAATAACAATAATAATATATTCATTTGTATAGAGCTAATATCCATCCTTCAGAAGGTTGCTCAAAATCGCTGTTGGGTGTGGTAGGCTACTGAGAATAAATGAGTCTTTAATTTTGATTTGAAAGTACTCAGTTGCTCTTCTGATCGTAGAGACAGTGGTAGCTTGTTCCATAAAGATGGACCACCAGATTGAAAAGACATGTCTCTGAATGTCTTTGTCCGACCAACAACTGACTTTGACATATGTTGTGTTGATGTATCTAAGGTTCCTTGGTGGCTGATATTCATGCAAAGATCAGATAGGTATACTGGCGCTTTTCCGTACAAGGATTTGAACATTAATACAAGCAACTGCTTTTCCCCTTTTCAATGTTTTCAAAAGTGTAGTGAGCTTCAGCCATGTTGGTTCTTCATTATTTGTGTCAGCTTCAAGTTCAACTACCTATAAAACTACTATAGTTTTTGAGGTTGTGCATATTGTGCACTAATGTTTGGACAAGATATCATCAAACAAACCAGAAAACAGAAATCACATTTTCATATTAGAAATCATACATACCGGTACATAGACAAGACATTTTGCTGAATTGATTTTCCTGCCTATTCAGTTAACTTTGCAGAATTCAAATAACTTGCCACATGACCAAGGTGATGATGCTTGAGAGAACATTGTTGATCCCTCATTGGTAAAAGTGTTTTCATTTTAGAATACCACGAAAGTGCATAAAATCTTAATAACATACAAATTATGACAGACAATCATATTTTAGATTACATTTGCCTTGAAATAACAGAGCACAGGTGGAAATGTTCAGAAGTGCACTCTACTATATTTGTCTTGAAGGTCCATATGTAGAAAAAGACATTGATAATATCTTGGTGCAAGTCTTTCCAGTTCAGGCTCAGAACATATATTTTCAAGCCATCAAAAACGGCATTTCAGACTTCCTACCAGTATGTTTGAAGCTTGGTGGTTTTAATGGTTCCTGTTTATTTGATTCATTATTATTTTGGGAAATCAAACATGGCCAAAGTAAATGAGTTTGGGTGACATTTATAAAATTGCGAATATGATGAATACATGTTTACACTCAGCATTGAGTTGAATATGTGGGATAAAATGGGTCTTTCAAATATCTTGTATTTGAAATTCTACTTGCCCTTAATATGTCTTAAAATGAATAAAAGCCAGGGCCCCGTTTCACAAAGCTATCGTGGCCACGACTGTAAAGTAAGTCTATGCTACAGTATAGGAGGTATGATTGCTACGGGAAAATCTTAGGCTTACGAGAGCTTTGTGAAACGGGGCCCAGGTGAATAAGACAAGTGCAATGCTGATTATTTGGTGAGCTGTAGTGCCATAGAATGAGGAGGTATGAGAACATTAATTTTAGTACTTATCTATGGCAATAGTGCAGTTTATTAGGTGCAGTTTACTTATGTGCTTATTTCGGTTCTCATGTGCCTCCTTGATTTTTTTGGGGTAGTTGTATTAGGGCTAGTATAGGTTCCACACAACACTATCCATAGCCCTTAGAACCCCCGTCCGAAAAAGCACCTTTTTTACAATCATTAGGGTCAGGTACCCCAATGCAATCATTAGAGATAGGTACCCCTGGCTTTCCGATCAAACACCCCTTTACGATCCATATGGTTGGGCACTACTTGCTGATCAAACATCCCTTCATGATCTTTAATGTCAAGCACCCCTTTACAATTGTTGAGGTCTGTTGTGAAGTAGGGCATGGGTCAGTTACCTACTTATCAAACATAAATCCAATACAATTTTAAGATTAGGAGACTGTACAGTTTTATCAAGTTTTGAGTTGACAGAGAACATAGATGTAATAGCCTCCTCACTGGAGAAAATCAAATCCATTTCCACTGCTTTTAGAGTTGTTGTGCATGTGTACAGGTCTTGTATTTTATGGGCTTTATTATCTCAGACTTGTATCTTTTACTAGAATTAGTAGAAAGCGTCATGCAATACTAAGGATTTGGGGTAACTGTATTAACCTTTAAGTGTTTTCCTCACGTCATTCACATTGCTTATTGATATGTTTCTCAGTGTATATTAATTAGCTGCCCCAACCATACTATTTATCATGTGTTTGTTGTAATGCACAAAGTTCAGTTTTTTTGGTATTCATTGAAGATTGAAAACTAAATACATGTACCAATCTTAGTGCAACATTAATGCTTCATGATACAAAACTGTACAACCACAATTGTGACTTTGTTGGAGGTTATGCTGCGTTGATTCTGGATTACACACAGTGGATTTCCTCATGGAACCACAAAACAAAGTCTAAATGTACCTTGTCTATCCTGTATTGGGTTTGTTGGATTTTTTTTATGTATACTCGGTGATCTGTCTCATGACCACATCTATGAAATATTTACCCAAGTTCAGCATGAAAAGCTGCATGGGCATAGCTAAAATTTGTCTGTTTCTTGTTTGGTATATCTAAATCTGTCTTATGTTCTCTTTTCAGGAACTATCCCGAACTTCTCAAGTACTTGATCGAGAGACCATCTCTCATTATTGGCTGACAGTATATGCCCAAGATGGAGGACTTGTGCCAAAGTTTGCACGTCAGGAAGTTCTTATTAAAATTGTAGATGAAAATGATAATGTCCCTCTTAGTCGTCAGCCTATATATCATGTGAGTGTACCTGAGAACAGCAGGGAAGGAGTGGAGATAATTCAAGTAGAAGCCGATGATGGTGACTTGAGTGACACACAGAAAATCACTTACCAGATAACTGGAGGAGATCCCCAGCACTTCTTCAAAATCCACAGCACTCAAGGTCAGTCAATCAATATGTAAAGCTTGTTTTGTGGCAACTCATTGTTTTGAAGCAGCTCCACGGTTAGGTATTTCAACGATGTCATATTTGATATCACTTTACAGCTCTTATGAGTGTTGCCCAGTTAAGTTAACGATTAAGATCTTTCTCAAGTTCATAGACTGTGAAAATCTAGAAATCTAGAATCTAGAAAGTTTTATTTACAACTTTGGCTGGTTTTACAAGGTCGGGAAGTGAATAAAAATTGTTTGTTTGTTCTTGGTCTATAAATATAACCTTATCATTGCACTAAAATTTCTATATACAAAACTTTCCAGATTTACAGTGTTGAATATTCGTTTAGGTCAATGAAACGTGCATGCCATTGTTGGGCCATGATTGAAAAGGTAACTGACACTCATCACGTCAACGGAAAGAGTAGGAAACACGACAAACCATTAATATTTTAATGCAACCAGAAATGATGTCTTTAATCTTGGTTTGTTTCCAGAAATATGTGTGAAGAATGTTTCTGTTATTCCCACACTGGTTAAGAATTGTTTGTGTGTTTCCCAAAGCAGAAATCATAAGATTCCTTGACATGTTATGTTCCTCTTTCACCAGAATCCAAAATATTTACTTAGTCATGTCAAAATCATTCACAGATTAAATCTATCACTGTTAACAATAAAAGATTAATAGATTAAACATTATAAGCTATTTCCTGCAAATTTGTTGAGGCTAACGGAAAGACATTGCTACCATCCAAGTCAGGCATTGCTGTTTCCCATCCCTTGTTTCCAATTATGAACTTAGGTACTATTTTGGGACAAACACTATGACATAGTGACACACTTTGTATGGCGTAATTGACATATTTTGCAGCTCATATTTTTCAAATCTGCCTTCATGTTGTGGTAGGCATGCATTTTACTGGTATGTGGTAATGATTTCTGGAGAAATTGTGGTCAGGGGACTGCTTTTGTGTTGGCAAATACAGTCTGTTTGTCTCCACATAAGAATAAAGAATTATAAAATAAATTGCAAAATGTGGCCCCTCCATTAAACATGTCCACTTGTTCACATAGCATCATGATAGTGTCTCAAATAAAACAAATTCCAATGATTGGTATAAAAGATAAAAACAACAGATATTGTTGGGTACAGGATATTCATTGATGAGTACTGTATTGATATTTGATAAACTAATTTTGATTTTAGTTTTGCAATTCATGGTATTCATGTTGGAGATGGACTATAATTTTTCCTTATCCTGACTCATGTATTATTGCATGTATTATTGCTTGTCTCCTTGCTTGTCTCCTTCCTTTCCCGAATGTTAGTGGAACACTTGTATCTCCTTTTTGTAGCTCCCTTTCAAAATAGCAGACGTAAAATCACTAATCACCACGAGTTATGTCCCTCTGGTTTCGGCGGGAAAACAGAGCCACCTGTCTTCCCACGCTTCACTCTCTCCTTCTTCGCCCTAGTGGACGGTTGGAAGAGCACCAGTGTCTCCAATACGGGACTATATCCTTTGATTAATTAGTTATTTTCCCTATAAGTTACCTTATAAGGTTTTAGGGAGTATCCTTCTACAATATGGTTTGAAATTTATTCGTAATTTGACTGTTTATTCACGGTTTTTACATGATTGTTCAGTTTGTTTACATTTCATGAAAACCTGTTTTCGTTGCAGGTTTTGTTCTCTGCTGCAGACCCGCATTTATTGTGCACAGCAACATGTGCACAGCTCTTGCTGTAAATTGTGTCAGCATTTAACAAATTTGGAATTTAATAATTATTATTTTTCTGTACTTAGATGGCTGTAATTACAAGTCATGGCTAACAGGCTGAGTCCCTAAAGAGCTGTTTGTCGTTGTCACCACGACATACTACCATCCAGTGACCTGCGGAATCTTTCAGAAGATGGGGTGGGATGAAGTCCGCCATTACGTCGAAGAAAAGATCTTCTACGTCGGACAACTCCTCAACCCATATGAAGAAGAAGAGGTCATCTTAAGTGCAGAAAAGCCTTATACTACTAAGGCTTCAGCGAGATCTACTGGGGGCTCATCGCAGACTACAAGGACTTTCCGGCGAGATTGTCGCGATGGAAGAAATAGGCTTGTTAGAAGAACCGCCTATCCTCATCCCAGAGATACTGCATAAGAAGAAGGCGCCAGGCCTCAGCAAAGGTAGCGTCAGCAACATTATCAGCGCAGTCTGAGTTACCTTCTACACACTGGCAGCAGGTACCCATGAGGTACAGCGATCCCTGGACCATATCGATACCCTATCAGATGCGTCATCTCTACAATCATCGCAGACATTCAACCCCGGGACCTTCATGCAGCAATTCTCCCAACAGATGATGGACCTGATGGAGAAGCGCCCGGCGCGGGGAAGGACCTTGCATGATGATCAGGCAGCCGCCTCTCATGCCCAAGTCATCAACCGACAAGAGGGAGCAGTGTTGCACGAAGGACCCCGCACCGGTGGTGCATCTGAGATATCTACAAGAGGTTCTAGCTCTAGGACTAAGAGCAGACCTACCCTGCATGGCGATCAGCGAACCTTAGCGAAGGAAGGGACATTCATCCGACCAAGAAAGAGCCTCGCATGACGGATAGCCAGGCGGCTCTCATGCTCAAGTCATCAACCTCAGAGAGGATCCAGAGCTGCACGAAGGACCCACACTGATGATACATCTGAGAGGCCTACCAGAGAATCTAGCTCTAGGACTAAGAGCAGATCTATGCTACATGACGTCAGCAAACCTGCGCGCAGGACGGCACACTCTTCAGAACCAATGAGATAGTCATCAGATGATGAGGCTAATGAAGAACCTTCACGCAGGCTACCCACTTCACAGAGAAAGAAACCTACACCACCCAGAAGGACTAGAGAGATGTCTCGGGACTCAGACCCTCAACAAAATCTCTCACCTGCGCGCGAAGGTCATCTGAATTATCTTCAAGGGCATCAACAACACCTCGCAGATCGTCACGGGATTCACCACTTAGGAATACATTGCCAGGAAGGCAATCCCGGCCAAGAAGACGCTCACCTACACGCAGGTCGCCATACAGACGCAGATCGCCACGTAGAGCGCCACGTAGAGCGCCACGCAGATCGCCAAGGATATTCAACCATCATATACCAGTGGACATGATACAGAGGACGATGGCGGTATCATCATTTCGGACTCAGAGATAATATATTGGATGGCTAATGGACTGGACCTAGCGTCACCCTCGAAGGAAAAGATCTTCGCCGGCGCAAAGACTGAGGGACACGTGTTGAAGTTTAAGAGGGGTACTCTTATCCGAAATTCATCACCTGCGCGGACCTTCAGACTGAATCCCAGGACAGGATTCACATCGTTGAGAAATTTAGATAGATATATCTACATCAGAAGATAATAACGGGACTCATGGCCACATAGAGATCTTCACTTCCGTACAGATCTGCAGGTATTCACAGTGGCGTGGTTCAACAGCAGCCTTGCTAAGGCTATGAAACTACAAAATCATCAACGACTCCCTGTGTAGAATTTACAACAAAGTTGGGCATCAACTCTAAAAGGACCTGTGTGTTTCAACACAAAGAGGGTAATTTACGACGCTTCATTGAGATCGATGAATGCAGTTTACAAGTAGCAGCACTGAGGAGGTGTACTCTTCAGCTGATCATCTGTATAAAAGGACGACTGCAGTATCTTCAGGACTGAAGTAACAGTCACAGCAGCCAGGAAAACAGCCTACCTACATCGGTATTACGTGGCAAAAATTTTCGCGCATTTACCATTCAACCCTCTATACACGTGGTCACTCGTGTAACTCCTGAAGGCTACGGACAAGACCGAGTGTTGATAAGATATCAACGGCGGCACTAGATTCTACAAAGACCTTTTTGCTGCTACACATGTGACGTCACATCGCGGGAAGCTAAAGGAATCAAAATGCTTCATTTTGATTGGACCATGAGAGACAACGCCTTGTGCAGAAGGCGGACGTAGTTCACATGTCAGGAAATGGGTTACAAATGACAACAACCTTTCAACGAGGGAGGAAAGCCTCAATTACAGTCCAGTTAGACGGGACCTACGTGATTTGGCTGCCTTCACGGGGTTAGAGACCTTCCCTGTCAGCATTGAAGATGATTTGCAGCAACATACGTTGACGGCAGCCAGTCTACTTTATATAGACTTCACAACGATGGCAGTCACAGAGTCGGACATTGCTTCATTTCCCTTATGGACACGGCAAGGGTTCACGATCGTTGGATCTAGATACAAGCCATTGTATCTCAAGCACTACTCTCTCCGTTATTACTACGAAGTTGGCAGAGCCTACTCAGTCCTCAAGTCGGAACTGGAGCCTACACAGGACCTGCAGTTCCTAGCAATTCGGCTCATCACAACAGAAAACCGCATAACAGTACCAGAGGACCGTTGGCTAAAGATACAACAGATGGTATCGCAAGCTCTACTCTCTCCATGGCCACTCCGACACTGGCAGAGTCTGTTGGGTCTCCTCACATCAGCACAGGACATGACACGCAGAGGGAGACTACAACTACACCCACTAGGTCTTCGTGAATGTACATCTGGACGATCCGGACCCCTTCGGACTCCCGGAAAGACTAAAACCATATCTAATATGGTGGACTCAGAGATCGAATCTTTGCGGAGGCACCTAATTAGCAGAGCCGGAGTGCAAGATGCATCTCTATGTGGACGCATCTCTCCAAGGTTGGGGAGCACACCTCGACAACAAAGTGTCAGCTGGGAAATGGACCATAGAGGAGAAAGATCTGCACATCAACATGCTGGAAATAAAAGGAGTGATAAACGCCATAATCCACTGGACCAGCATTTTGAAGAATGCTCATCTGACGGTACATACGGACAACTCCACAGTGGCGTTCTACATAAACAGACAAGGATCAACAAGGTCGGCGAACCTTCTGGACCTCTGCTTTCAACTGTTCAGCATAATAGACAATCTGAACATCCACATAAGAGCATTCCACATTCCAGGAGCCAAGAATGTGATAGCAGACGACTATCTCGTCCAAGCATAGCCATCCCCAACAGAATGGATGCTACATCCAGAGATCTTCAAACAGATCATACAAGAGATGGGAGCCACTAATAGACCTATTTGCCACAAGATTCAACAATCAACTGGTAACATTAGGTCTTGCCAATACCAGAGTCCCGAGCATGGGCAACAGATGCTCTAAGCATCTCTTGGGAAGGACTAAGCGGCACTACAGCGTTTCCACCACCAGCTCTAATACCCGAAAGTGTTGCAAAAAAATCAGTCAGATGAAGGACCTGCAACTGATTTTGGTCATGCTTACTGGCCAGCGAGGAATATGGTTCCCCATTCTCATACAAGAACTAGGACCGCCTCAGCTGCAACTACCAGAGTGGACCAACCTGCTAGTACATCCACACACAAAGCAAGCACACGGCAGCCCAGAGGTGTTCTGGCTACACGCGTGGACCATATCAAGAAGCGTGCTTGAATAAGAGGATATTCGCCAGAGCAGCGGTCACACTAGCTGCATGAAGTCAACGCGCAGCTTGTACAGCGACAAGTAGGAAAGCTTGAACCTACGCTTTGAAGACAGGCTTCACAGCCATAAAAGCGACACACCTTCAAATGGCGGACTATCTTTGTCACCTAAGACAAACGAAGCGGTTAAAAGGGTCAACATTCTCAACATACCTAGCGGCATTGAGCTCAGTTATTACTATGAGGGCCGAGTGTAAAACTGGCCGAAGGTACCAGGAGTTACTGGCCTTACTACGCTCTTTTTAAACTGGAGGACCAACAACAGAGATTTAAAGCTCCCGCGTGGGACCTCAACATAGTTCTACGGCATCTCACCAGTGACGCTTAGGACATCTTTTGAGTTCTTGACGCAGAAAACGCTGTTCCTGATCGCCTTAGCAACAGCAGCAAGGATGTCGGAAATACATGCTCTGGACTTTGAGAGGACACGATTTGATGAAAATCGAAACATCGTGCATATGGGACTGAGATGGGACTTTATAGCAAAGAATCAACTGCCAGGTCAACCGGACAGACAATTCCACATCCCAGCACTATCATCAGTCCTTGGGCCACAGGATACACAGGACCTATCCTTATGCCAAGTAAGAGCATTAAAATTCTACCTACAAAGGTCTAGGACTAGGAGACGAAAATTCAAGCATATTTTCATCCCGATATCGACAGCGACACAGACGGAGATCTCAATATGGATGAGAACTGTCATACTACGGGCCTACAAAGCAGCAGGACTTGATCCTCCAAGAGCCTCCAACCCACATGAAGTTAGAGCTCTGGCGTCAACACTCACTCTACATGGGAATTGCTCTATCAGGACGATAATGGAGGGCTGCTTCTGGAAATTGGACATGGTGTTTGCCAACCACTACCTGAGAGACATTGCCACCGAGGACGTCTCTGGCATTCACCATTTTGGCCCACTTGTTGTAGCACAACAATTGACAGTTCCACAAAGGCGCTGAGACGGAGTCTCGCCCTTTTATCACATGACTTGCAAAAGCCTACACTCAGGAGAGTTACAGCTTTAGAGTCCATATGCTGCGTCTAAGTCAGACTAGCATAAGTGATAAGACCCAGTACTTGTAAGGACATGCTTCATTACAGGAAAGGTGCTCGCATCAAGAGATGGAGTTGCAAAATCCACATAAAATGTTAACAGAAGCAAGGACCAAAAGTTAACAATTGTGGTCCCCCCATCAGAGAAAGCTGGAAGTAAAGGGTTACAGCAGCAGCAGAGCCTAGCAGTAAATTGAAGTGCTACCAGGAAGTTCCCATAGGGGGGTATGCAAGACGTAAATCACTAATTGGAATCCAGAAGTGGCTTGTCCCACCACGTGATCCGACGGATTCTACAAGCAATAATACATGAGTCAGGATAAGGAAAAATATGTAATTTTCTGAGTAAAATTGATATTTTATACTTATCCTGACTCATGAGGTAATCCCTCCCAACCTCCCTGCTATGCACTTTGGATTTCCCTGTAAATCGAAGTGTCGGGCTAGCTATTCGGAGAGAGTGAAGCGTGGGAAGACAGGTGACGCTGTTTTCCCGCCAAAACCAGAGGGACATAACTCATGGTGAGTAGTGATTTTACGTCTGCTATTTTGAAAGGGAGCTTCAAAAAGGAGATACAAGTGTTCCACTAACATTCAGGAAAGGAAGGAGACAAGCAATAATACATGAGTCAGGATAAGTATAAAATATCAATTTTACTCAGAAAATTACATTTTGCACACAGTTTCTTGCTGACATAAATTGCACAGAACAGTCTCAGTGCTGAAAATATTATAGCTCTATCCTATTTTACCATATTTTCTTCATGATCAGTATAGAGCACACAGGTTTTTGAAACAACACAGCTGTCAAGTGTACATAATACATGCCACAGTGGGGTTATATATTTTTCCCCAAACTGCAGAAACATTTCCTTGGGCACTGAAGAACGCATTTTCATTGTGTTATAATACTAACATGTTCGTGTCTGGATTTATGTTTGTGATCTATTTTTAAAATTGTACTAAAGATTTCCTTCAATATTTTGTTTACATTAAAGGTCACATGCAACGTAAAACACAACTTTGCAGATTCTGATACCTTTCGGTATGGATATACCGAAACAAATAGTCAAAAATGCAAATTCAACTTATAAAGTTGAAAAATAACGCGATGAAAAAAGCGCGAAATCGGAGTTCAAACGTTTCACTAATTTTCCCCAGAGATTTCTGGGGAAAACGGGTTTCAACAGCTGGGCTGCGCCCATAGCACGTGCGCAAGTAAATAGGTTCGCGCAGCTTGGAACCGGGTTGTCGGGTGAATACTCGGTGAAGGCCTTGGTGTGAGCTATTTTCTAATGTTTTGTTGATATCTCACAGTAGCGAACTTTTATATGTTATGACAGTAAATTAACTGTTTATATAATTTCATTTGTCTATTTCACCACACGTTCTTCTTACCGAGGCGCTTTCTCAGTTCGATACTTAAAAGCAATGTCATTATTTAGCGTTGACTCAGTTTCTAACTGTGATATAGATATGTCGTTGTCACAGACAAAACTCAATGTCTTGTTTTATTGACACCTGTGTGTCTGCCTGCCTGTCTGCTATTGACAATATTCAATACAACTGCAATCACTGACCACATGCAATTCGAACTTAACACCAATCGGGCTATACACCATAAACAAAAGCGCATTGATTTATGGCCGAGTTGGTCTCTGTCACATTATGTAATTACACAGACAGGCAGGTGTGATACTTGAACACATGACATGTTATGATGTCTGTTGGATTGCAAAATGTTATACACAAAAATGAGCATGTATTTACAAAACCATCATCTCTATATACACACACAATATGAGGCCTGAAGGCGGCATCTGCTAATGAACCAGCCGTTACACTTGAGTGCACACCCACCCGCTCTGACTGGGTTCGGTATCCCGGCTGCTTCGTTTCGAGGGAGGTAAACCCAAGTACAAAATATTGCACTTTTGATTTGCGATTATACGCTTATAATTTTGTTTATTTGTTTTTTCATAATCAGCTATGCATATTATATGTCATGAAGAAGTGATAATTGTGTTTTAATTATGTTTGATTTTTTGGTTGCATGTGACCTTTAATATCACCGTAACTGTGAGTGAGGCAATTGGTAGATTGCACCTATTGACCATCAGTTCAGCAGCCACAATCAGATGGCCACTATTGACATCTTGGAACAACCTTGAGTTGATAAGGAATCTATGCATATATCATGACTAACTGAAAGTCATATTTGTTGTGGTTTTCTTAATACCTGCATATGAATCACTGCCCATTTAAAATGGAAAATGTTGTTTTATTGCAAAGTTCTAAGCTTGTTTTAAGCTATTTTTGCTGAACAGATGTGAGAAAAGTCTTTTCCTGTGAATAATACTTGGATTTTTATTTTCCCAACAGGCTGCATCCCCTGGAGGAATGCATGCATTATTTGAGTGAACAGTATGCTCAAGAAAATTAGGCAGTTGACTATAGTTTATGTTGAAAAAAGCCCTAGAATCTAAACAAAGTGTCAAATGTTGTATATACCTTGTGCATTTCTTCAGGCATGATCAGCACTACAGGGAGAGCATTGAACAGAGAAGATGTTCCTGAACATGCACTGGAGGTAAGATCTCTAAGTCAGTTTTGCAAACCTTGAGCAGTGGTTGGAAAATGTCATGGCTAGGTTTCTGAACACCTACCAATCTTCGGTGAACCATTTTCAGTAATGATAAGATTCTTTGATGTCTTTGGTTTTACAGCATAGTACAAAACTCCAGAAAAATAGGAATATGCTACACTGAAACAATGTTCAGAAAACTCTTTGTGGAAAGATCACCTGCTGTTCACAATCATAGGAAGTGAATGAGAATTCAGTTTGGCCCTGGGCAAAACTATTGATCCACATTGGCTGGTGGTTCTTAACTTTTTCTAACTTGCATATTGAGCATTGCAGTTACTATCAAAGATGTAACTGGAAATACATGATGATCTAGTAGCGTTTTCAGCACTCTTTTGCCCAGCATGACCTCTGTGACATTCAGCCATACCCCAATATGTCATTTTCTCTTCACTACCTATAAAGTATGTGAGAAATGATCACTTATTTGATTTCTGAGGAATCTATCCTTTGCTGATTGATTTTCAACTGTTTTGAGGTCGTTTGGTGTATTATATTTCCTATTTATCTGAACAGATATGGATAATCAGTGTGTTCTGTGCATGGTTATAATTTCCAGGCCTTGTATGATGTTTTGTGTAGGCTTCCATTTTTTTCCTACTTTGAGAGAGGTGCAGATATTATCTCGCAAGAGTCATGCATGTTTAACATGAATATTTTTGCAGCTTTTGCACTTTTCCTTCATATGATTGAGTATCAATATTTGCCTATTTTTACTCACTCGTTCATTTTTCACAGTACAAATGTGACACTTGAGCAGGCTTCCCTTTTCCATTCTTTATAGGTTTTACCTTGTACTCCCATGTTACAGATGTTTGCTGCCAAGTACGATCTCTTTAAAGGCAAAAATCAGTGAAGATCAACACCACCACAATACTCTTGAAAACTTCTTCACCTATCTCACTGTAGTTACCAAACGAAACATCAAACAAGGATGTATGTCTGACCTGTTCATTGCCTTGTTCTGAATGACAGTCACATGCTGGAAGCAGATTCCCTGAAGGCGCACCACATGGGTGGTCATTTAAAATTACTTTGCACCAGGACGCTTTTGTACAAGTCTTGGGATAACTTGGCCAAAGATTTCATGGTTATATATTGTCATTTCATTTATGCATGCCTTGGAGCACACAGCAAGTAGTACATAGTCAGATAGATGTACACAGAAAAGGCACTGTACCTGGGCAACTTGCTGGAATGATGCGCTTTGACAGAGATAATTGATTCAGATCACTGATCCCCAGATCTTGTACCAAGATATGCAGGGTGTCAAGCGAGTCCTATATTCCTATTAAATCCTATAATTTGGACACTATCCTATAAAATCCCATAAAGTCCTATATACTATGGTATGTTATCCTATAAATTCCTATTTTTCAGACGTCTGCTGCATGTTGATACAGCTAAATAGTCCCATACAGCTAGATTTTTTATCAGTGATGAAATTCCTTTTTATGTGTCTTTTCCAATGGCACTTGTTTAGGTTGAAGTGTATTTTGTGGACCTTACTAGTGAAACATCCAGTCTTAACCAGAAATTCTTGCCTTTCTGTAGTTTAGATGTCAAAAGCAATGAATTGGAAGCCAGGTATCAATGAAATAGAGTAAATGATTTTCATTAAGCACAATCTATGACTTATTAATAATGTTGTTTACAAGAAATGCCATTGGTTACATATATTACCTAAATACCACAAATGACAATAGTGACTGATTGATTATATTTTCCAATTTTCGTTTAAAGGAATGCTAAGCAAAACAGGCATATTTTTTTGAATAGGCATAGGTTGTAATCCTTATCAGGTAATTTTAGCTTGAAATGAAGACTTTAAGTGCAACTTCCAGCATGACAAACCACAGATTCATCTCCTTTATGCGCAAGCCTGTTGAAGACCCTGCTGCTCAGATCTGTCAAGAGTGACCTACTTAAAAGTTCAACCTCTTCTGGTTTAGCCAGTTGTCCAACCAAGTGTCTGACATTGATCTCATTATAAGAGAAGACACTAGACAACAAATGAAAACCCTGAAAGAAGATTAAAGGAGACTGGCATTTTGGGGCATGAGGTTTTTCTATCAGGCTGTGGCAAGCTTCAAGACTTCCATTCGGAAACAAGCTGCTCAGATATGTGTCCTGCTTAAATCCATCCAAGAAAACTTCAGGATCTGTTATTCATGTTGAATATCTGGCCAAGGCTTTCCATATCCCTTTCTACAGAAGTGGTCCATGTCCTAGATGAGTGGCAAATGTATCAGTTAGACAAGGACATCAGGGTCACAGATGAAAACATGAGAATTGATCACTACTGGAGTGATGTGTTCAAGCAGACCACACCAAATGGATCTCCCACCTTTCAACAGTTGTGAAGGCTGCCCTTGTTTTACCTCATGGAAATGCAGATGTAGAGAGGGGTGTCTGTCAGCAACAACATTGTCACCCTGGAGAGAATTCAACTGAGTGAGGACACCTCAGATCAACAAAAGACATGGTTAGATTTTCAGATCCCTAGCTCCAATGACCAGGGAAAGTTCCTCTGACCAGATCTATCATATTGGCAGCAAAATCAGCACACTCTGTTTATCAAAGGAAGCTCACAGAAGAGAAGAAGAGGGCTGACAGAGAAAAGGAGGAGAGAGAAACAAGAGCAGGAGAGGAAGCAAAGATAAAGAAAATCCCTGAAGAAATTTAAACTAAGAACATCAGTCTGCATGAGAAAGAATCTTTATTCAATAAGGAAGAATGTGATATCAAGGATAAGCTTGACTTTCAATGAACTGCTCAAAGATGTCAACAGAAAACTAACCAATTCCATCAGTAGTGGCAAGAAGGCGGACATGTCTGCAGCTCAGATGATGACAGCAATGGCCATTGAACAGATCACCAACCTCAACAAGCAGATGGTAGAAATCAGAGAGAAACATAGAATGTCAAAAAAGAAGATTTTTCCTTATCCTGACTCATGCTTAATTGCTTGTCTTCTTCTTCTTGCGAACTGTAGTGGAACACTTGTATCTCCTTATTGAAGCTCCCTTCAATAAAAACGTGCGTAAAATCACTAATCACTACTCACCAAGAGTTGTCCCTCCTTCCGTTTGCGCGGGAAAACGGCGCCACTGTTTCCCACATGGTTCACTCTCTCCTTCTTCGCCCAGTGAGCAGGTTGTGAGAGCGCCTGTGTCTCTCTTTACGGCACTATATCCTTTCATTATTTAGTTAGTTACCTCTAGTAGTTCTTTATAGAGGTTTAGCTAGTATCCTTCATCAATATGTTTTGATATTTATTCGTAATTCTCACTGTTTATTCGCGGGTTATTCCGTGATTGTTCAGTAGTCTACGTTCATGAAAATCTGTTCCGTATGTAAGTTTCGTTTCTCTGCTGCTGACCCGCATTTAATATGCCCTAGTTGCACTGTACCATGTTCTTTCAGCTCACGCTGCAGTTTTTGCAAACCTTTATCAACTTGTGCATTTAATAAATATATTCTTGGTGTTTTGAGACGTGCTGCCGATAGGTCGCGTAAGATTGTCCCAGTCATGGAGAACTCAGCGGATTCCCTCACCAGTCAACTGCTGTCGGACGACCCCCTACCGTCTGGTGTTCCGCTAGAGTTTCCCTCGGAGGAGAGGCGTGGGACGCAGTCCGCCACCTCCAAGAAGAGACCTGCATCTCAAGACATCCCATCGTCGCAGCCCAAGTCTAAGAAGTCGTCTACCACCCAGCGCAGACTTCGCACCCCCAGGGCAGCATCCAACACCAAGGAGAAGTCACAGACCACTAGAACTTTCTCGGCCGAGATCGTTCCCGTCGCAGAACAGGGCCTATATGATGATCAGCCGATTGTCATCCCAGCGATTCCTCACAAGAAACGACCGGTCTCAGCTACAGTGACTTCAGCTACGGTGACGTCAGCGCAGATCCACACTCAACCTGATGTATCAACGCTGACTACAGATGATCGTCCCATGGGCCCCGTCGCCACCAACGCAGATAGAGCAGCACTGGTACCACCGCAGACCTTCCCGGGCGACTTCATGCAGCAGTTCTCCCAGCAGATCATGGAGTTGATGGAACAGCGGTACAGCCTGGAAAAGTGACAGCCTGCACAGGGTCCGAGCCTTCGCGAAGGCTCCAACGTAGACATCACCTCCGAGGGGCCTGCCATCAGCGAGACTTCTACCAACATCACGAGGATCTTAGCGTAGGACGTCAGAACTCCATCGGACCAGCCTCCGCGAAGACCGACCCAGTCAACCCTTGTGGAGGACCCAGACGATCAGCGTTCGCGAAGAACTTCGCGAAGGGCTACACCTACTACGGACTCGGATGATCAACGTTCACGCAAGCGTTCGCGAAGGAGGAATCATTCATCCCCGGACTATGACTCGGATCAGCCTTCGCGAAGGACCAGTCGCCACTCCCCAAGTGCGGACTCAGATGAGCCTTCGCGAAGGACATCAACGACAGCTTACAAGGCATCGTCCCATAGATCTTCGAGGAATTCACCAGGACCTTCGCGAACCCACAGATCACCCTACAGGAACAGCCGTTCACCACGTCGTCGTTCTCCACGCAGATCCCCACACAGGTCTCCGCGCAGGTCTCCACGAAGATGCCCTACAAGTCTCCGCGCAGATCTCCACATAGGTCCCCACGTAGATCGCCACAGTCATGCAGGACTCCACCTCAGTCACCATCGGAGGAGTATCAACATCCCCTTCTCAGCACCCGGGTCACAGAAGACGATGGCGGCATCATTTTTCCGGACTCCGATATACGCTACTGGATGGCTAACGGGTTGGACTTGGCTTCACCATCTAAAGACGATAATCCGGCTCACACCTATCTTATGAGAGATGACGACGTCGACACGCTCACCCTACCTCCGATCGATCCCATCGCAACGGTTTCACAGAACTTGGACGCAGCTTTCAAGACAGCCATTAAAGC